CGCGAGTGGAGAGAGCGGGCACCCTGGTCTTGCTCCTGGTCTTAGAGGAAGGGCTTCCAGCTTTTCCCACTTGTGACATTAGCTCTGGGCTTGTCACATGTGGCCTTTGTTGTGTTGAGGTATGTTCCCTCTGTACCCACTTGGCTGAGTTTTTATCATAAATGGATGTTGACTTTTATCAATATTTCCCCCCACATCCTTTGAGATTATCATTTAATTTTTATCCTACATTTTATTAATTGTGATGTATTGCATTGATCGATTGTTGGGTGTTGAACCATCCTTGCATCCCTGGGATGAATCCTACTCGATCACAGTGTGCGATCCTTTAATGTGTTGTTGAATTTCCTTTGCTAGATTTTGTCAAGATCACAGTCTAATAGGGCTTAACCTGTTGCGTGCCGTGGAGCTCTTCTTGTAATAGTGTTTCCCAATGCTCGAAGTGAAACATCAGGGGCTAGAAGGAGGTGCTGATACAGCTCTCCCGACAGAGCCCGGGGCGAGGCGGCCCTTTGGCTCTAGCCTGTGCAGAGCTCCTGAAGCTGCCCTCATGGCCCAAGGGGCTGCCAGCAGGGGGCTGGGCCCGGGCAGGGTAGGTTTGGGGGAGCAGTAGTCACCCGTAAGTGTGGGGCGGGGGCAGGGGGACAGGCCTGTGGGAGGCTCTGCATCTCCCAGCTGTGCCACCTGAGCGAGGAGGGAGCGGCCGTGGGGACAGCGGCAGCACCGAGGGCAAATGCTTCCTACCGCAGCACCCGCCATGCCCGGCTGCTGTCCTGGAGCACCGCACTGGGCCCTGGGCCCTGGGCCCTGCTGCCGCCATCAGCAGGCAGCAGCCCAGGCCTGGAGGAGCTGGTGGCTTAGAGCCTGGCTGCGCAGGCTGCGCTGCGACCTTGCTGCCCCCGCCCCCGCCCCCGCCCCCAGCGCTGGGCCAACAGGGTTCCTGCTCTCACTGGGAAGCCCTGAACCTGCTCAGCTGCTCCCTCTGATGCCACGTGCCGGTGGGGCCGCTGCCCCCTCCCCACCCTGGACAATCTGACCTCCTCTGCCACCCAGCGTCCCCCTCGGATGCCTGGGGCCGGGTGGTTGTGTCCCTGCCGCCAGCACCGACGGCACCTTCCCCGTGCGCATGTTCGACCCCGTGGCCGCTGCGGCTCCATCCTGTCTTCCGGGGCCAGGCGTGGGATCCGCAGGCTGTGTTCATCGTCCGCAGACTGGAGCGCCTCTGGCCCGGAGAGAGGGCGAGAGCCCTCCCAGGGAGCCGCTTCGAGGCCCCGATCTGGCATCCTTTTGTCGCCCGTGCCCCTCGTCCTCCAGCTGTGGCGGGGCCTCCCACCCCGGTGCCCGTCCCGCGGTTACCTGCATTTACCCGCCGGCAGCTGGGCCCCTGCTGTGGGCCGTTGGCGCCGGCCCTGCTGCTGCTGCTCGGCCTCGCGCAGCGAAGAGCTTGCTGGCTGAGCTGGCAGGGCGCCGGGGCAGGGGGCGGGGGCGATGGGGCCCAGGGGCCTGCCGTTCCTGCCCCGCTGGTCCCAGCTCAAGGGCCGGGCCGGCGGCCAGGTCTCAGGAGACACCGTGGGACGGTCGATGAGCCGGCGGTGGCTGCGCCACCTTGGGGGCTGGCGGCAGTCAGATGGGCACCATCGGTCATGCGTCCCAGTGACCATGAGTCTGATCTCATTTGTACCTGGAGCCCTCAGCGAAGGGCCTGGAAATCTAAAAATAGCTGGTTTATGAGGTCAAGGGTGACAGACGGACGCAGTGAGAATGAAAGCGGCACGAAAAGCCGTGCAGGGAACAGTGACTGGGCTGGCACCTTGCCTCCCGCGGCTCCCGGCGCCTTGTTTCCGGGCCTCCTTCCAGGGTCAGCCCCCGCCAAGCCTGCCCGGGCCCACGGCCCCCGGCCGCCCTGACGCCCCTCTGCCCGCAGGTCTCGGTGCTGGTCTTCATCGCCCTGGCCTTCCTCACCTGCGTCGTCTTCCTGGTCGTCTACAAGGTGTACAAGTACGAGCGCCTCTGCCCGGAGGGATTTGTCCTCAAGGTAAAGCTCCATCCTCTCCCCTTGCCCAGTCCAGGGATGAGGTTGCACCGTCTCACTTCAAAGCATCTGAGGCGCGGGTCCTTGGGAAAGGTTCCCGTGGAAGGAAACGCCTGGGGAGGGCCTGCAGGTGTGGCGGCCCCGCAGAAAGGGGAGGGCCGCCTGCCGGGGCAGCTGGGCCTGCAGGGAGGCAGGGCGGGCGGGCGGGCTGTCTAGGGCCACGCGGGGGTCTGGGGGCAGGGGTGGCACTTGGACCGCCCTCCTGACTGTGCGTCCCCTGTCCGCCTGCCGCGTTGGTCATGGTCCACACTTGCGGACGCACACTTGGCTGGTGTGGTGTCTCGTTCCACAGTGCTGGCGTGTGGCACACAGCACGCACCGGACAACAGGTCCCAGCCCCCCGTGACTGTTAGGCGGACACCCTGCATGCCTTGCCGGTTCTTTCTGGAAGCGGCTGTGTGCTCCTGGGGGGCGGGCAGGCCCCTCACCCTGGCGTCCCGGGGTGCGGCGAGCTGGTGGGGAGGACTGGCTCGCCGCGGTGTAAGCAGCGGGTGCGCCTCCACTGCACTGACGGCAGGAGACGCAGCAGCTCTACCGCACCAAGCAGGGACAGCCACCCAGCACCGGGCCCCCGGGGGGACAGAGACGTAGGGCTGCCGCACCGACTGGCTTCTAACCCTCTGCCAGGCGCCGTGCCTGTGACCCCCTTCTCCCCAGAAACGTGACCCATCCTTCACCCGCCTCCAGACCCGGAGGCAACAAAACCTAGGTGGTGGGCCAGGCTGGGCACCTCTCGGCTGGACGGACACGGGAAGGCAGCCCTGGGCCCCGGACCCCGCATGCTCAGGAGAGCTGCAGACTGGCGTCCTCGCACAATGCCCGGAAGACAGCATTTCACATGCAGCCCGAGGGGTTTCCCGCCATCCGAAGCCTCCCCTTCCCGCCTGCCCTGGACTCTGGCCTGTAGGGACAGAGCTTCTCCCTTGCTGGGGACCATCCCACCACACTCGGCGTGCCCTCCTGAGGGCCTCAGTGCCTCCCTGGCGTGCTCCGACCGAAGGCCACGCCGCCAGCGTCCCCGCAGGTGGCACCGCCCAACCCATGGCCCCCGCCCCCGCCCGGTCTCCTTTGCGGATGCGCTCCCTCCCTGACCCGGGGAGGCCGGCCAGGGACCCAGCTCACAGGAAGCCTGTCTTCCCTTCCTTCGTTATTTCGGGTGGACACGTCAAAAGTTTCGCTGTTTTCTAGGCCTAATGTGATCACTAGCGCAAGATCTTTCCTGAGGCGGGAAGGCCCTGTGACACAGACCCGCCTCCGCCGAGCCCCGGGCAGGCGCCCCTCCGGCGTCGCCCACGTGCCCTGGCCTCTGTCTTTCAGAACGCTCAGTGCATTCCCAACGGCTTGGCGGCCTACTACGCGGAGCAGGACCCCCACTCCCCAGATAAGTTCTACGCCGTCGTGAACCACTACAACCTGGCTAAGCAGAGCATCACCCGCTCCGTGTCCCCGTGGATGTCTGTGCTGTCGGAGGAGAAGCTGTCGGAGCAGGAGACGGAGGCGGCTGAGAAGTCAGCTTAGCGAGGTGGGCAGGTTCCTTACAGTGTGTCACCTGAAGGTAACAAAGGGACTCTGAGGGACATTTCATTAAATATAATTACCAATAATTTAGAGGTTACTCATTTATGGTGCAGCTGCTTCTGTTTGCTAATGCTGCTTTGCAAATGAAACTTGCTGCAGACCTTCCATGGGCATAACATCGAGTGCGCGGCGGCGGCGGCGGCGCCGGGAGGGCACGGACACCACCGCTCACGCATCCGAATCTTAGCTCCGTTGCTCTGCTGGGGTTTATTTGATGTCAAAAGATAAATTGACACTGGATGTGCAAGGGGTTTGGATGTCAGATACATAATGCATTTGTGGAACTGATTTTTTAAACCACCTTGCTGTTTGCAGACCTAACACCCTACCCACCTCTAGCGCCCCGCTTTGCTCAGAGCGAGCTGTACCGCCTGCCCCCGGTAGGGGGCGCCAGCACCGCCGGCCGGACTCGCCCGGTGAGCCGGGCAGAGGTGGGAGGACAGGTGCTGTTGTGGGGTCCTTGCCAGGCTGTGTTTTGCTTGAGTGCATGTTGACTGTGTCAAAGCATGTGGGACGCGGGGACCCTGGAGAGAGAGAACCCTGGGCCCGGGATGCGGAACGCGCTCCCTGTAGGTAGTCTGCCCGCTCGGACGTGGGGTTGAACAGGGACTCAACCCCACTGGCCCTTCCGTTCACTTCTGTTATGACTACATTTGCACCAATGGCCCTATTAGCGAGTTAGTTTTTTTAAAAATTAGCTGGGTGGGACAAGTGGAAATGTAACTGCCGGTAAGCCAAGGCCACTTTAATTTTGTGAAGCCAATGTAACTCCTTTGATGTGCGCAGCAGGCGGGAAAGGCCGGTGCAGGGGCTGCCCCCGGCTCCCCGCAAGTCCAGTTACAACATTTCAACTCACAATCTTTGTAAAAAATTGTTTCAACCTGAACCTTGACATTAAAGTATATGTTTACAAACTTGCCAGTTAGATAAACTAAGTGTGTAAGACAATTAAATAGAACAGATATTCAGACATTTTCTTCCATGTTATTTGAATGTGTTGTTTTTGGTGGACATGTCAAAAATTTCCCTGTTTTTAAGTAGATCAAAAATAAACGACATAGTGCGAGACCTGTTGCGAACAAGCGTGGTCACCGTGGCCAACTCCATTTCCGCCTCCCAAGACGTGCTTCTCAGACACAGACCGTGTTTCCTTGCCAGCGGCGTGGGGCGTGGAGCGCGACCGCCAGACCACTGCAGGCGGCGTGCGTGTGCATGTGCTGCGTGGCCGTGAACCCTGGGGAGAGCATGCGCAGGAGCGCCCACGAGAAAGGTCTCCCGCACCTGTCTACCCAGAGCTGAGGCCACGGTGTCAAGGCGAGCCCCATGCGTGTTTTCTGGTAGACAGGTCCTTTATTGGTAGTTCATTCACACGTGACTCCTGACATTTTCCTCTGTGCACAGAAAGAACACAAGGGTCCCCATGGCTGCCCGAGGGGCCGTCTGAACAGCGTGCATTTGCAAGGAGCAGCGCGGGGCTGTCCGCACCGCTCAGTGGGGGCTGAGGTGGCCCGTGGCCCCAGCAGGCTGTGAACGGACAGGGCTCCGGCTGCCCCGTGATTCCCCTGTGGTCAGGCCTTCCTCGAGGGGCGGGGGCCCCATCCTTCTCTGGACAGAAGCTCGTTGGCCCGAAGGCAGGAAGTCAGGCCTCAGGAGGGAGGTCATGTCGCCTCTGCGCCAACCCCCGCAGCTGGCTGGTGGAGAGGGAGACCCCCTGGGCCCTGCCCGGGCAAACCCTGCACAGCAGCCCCCGGTCAGACACAGGAACGGCCCCTGCCGTCTGTCCACTTGGCCTCGTGCCTGCCACGCCAAGTCTGTGTGCGTTGGTTTTTCCAGCTAGCAGCGGGTTTGGGTGTCCCTTGTGTGAATGTGCACCCGCCTGTCTCAGCCCCCCTCCCCCCAATGCCTCTGGTAGAACCTGGTCACGGCCACGCGCTGACGCCTAGCTGTCGTACCAGTCGAGGAAGAGCAGGGAGAAGGAGCACATCACCAGGAAGAAGAGCACCCACACTCGGAAGCCCGCGTTGTTTTTAATGGCCTGCGGAGAGAGCGCAGGGTTTACGCAGGGTTTACGCGGGGCCTGGGCGTGCCCTGGGAGGCCCCACTGGGGAGCCCCCCCCGCCCCCTCCCCCTCCCCCCTCCCCCAGCTGTGACTTTGTGTCCCTGTGCCCTATGCTGCCCCCCAGCAGACGCCTATTTATTAAACAAAACCAAACGTTGGTTTAAAACCCATGAGAAGATAAAGGGGTGGCCTTGCCCTCCCCGACCAGCCCCTACTTGGAGCCCCTGCATGTTCTCCCGGGAACCCCCACGCCCCAGCGATGGCGCTCTCTGTGTCAGAGTGGAAACCACAGGCGCAGACCTTGAGCCCGGCAGATGCCCCGGCCGGTGTCCCTGGCAATGCGATGGCCACACAGTGCCCAGAGCTCTGGCCCTTGGCGGGGGGTCCACCCCTGGATTTAGGGAGCTGGTCAGACCCGGGCCGCAAGCACCCGCGCTCCTTTGCAAGGGGACGAGTCACTGCCCCTTGGTGCCCGCAGAGCCCCAGGCTGGGCAGGGACGGACCGTGACCGTCCAGCACACAGCGGCGGGCTCGGCCCCCTCAGGCCCTCGGGCAGCCCTGCCAGCGAGGTTTGTGCTCCTGCCGGACTTGGGGTCACGCAGGTCAGACGGGGCCCACAGGGTGCTCACCTCTCTGATGTCCTCGTTGCCCTCCTTGATGTTCTCCGTGGCGCCCACGACCAGCTGGTGGATGCTGTCAATCTCGGCTTCCTGCGGAAGGACAGGGTACATGAGCACCGCCCCCTACCCCGCGCACGCTGGTACAAACAGCAGCTGCCCCTCGCTAAGGGCCTGGGTTGACACTCCGGAGCTTGTGAACCCTCACAGCACCCGCATTTTACAAAAGGGGGACTTAAGGCTCAGAGGGATTTAATGAGTGGCCCAGTCACAGCCACCAGGTGGCAGGCCTGGGATCGGCCCCCAGCGCCTGGGCCCTCCCCGCTCCGACCTGCCACCCCTCCTGGGCCACCTGCCAGGTGGACACCCGGGAGCTGCCAATGACAGAGTGGCCGCCCCACCCCAGGGGCGTCCCTTCCAGTCTCCTCTGCTTTTTGTCGAGTCCAGAGCCGTTAGCTCAGACGTGTGTGCTTTCAAACACACTTGTTACCTTCAGACAAGTGCTGTCTCACCAGTGATCTCTGAAAAAGGGTGAAATTTAAAAATCAAAATGGGATGCAGGATGTTTGCAAAACATTTACTCTTGGGAAGCTTCCCAAACACGGGAAGCTTCAGAAGAGGGAGCCCCATCTCGCCACGGCGCCCCTGGCCGCAGAGCACAGCGCTGCACAGGCGGTAACCACGCCAGCCCGGGCAGCAGCAGCCGCGCCCTTCCGGGCAGGGGGGCAGTGTGTGGGGGGGAGGGGAGTGCACAGTGGGGGCCCTGGGGGAAACCCGAGCGACTGGTGCTGCAGAGCAGGGCAGCCTCTAGCCCAGGGGGTCTCGCGGCCGGGGGCCCGCGGGCCAGGGCTCTGCGCTCACCCTCTAGGAGGGGCTCGCAGGGGGCGCTGACCGACCACAGTCCCGGGAGGCCTTGCAACAGCCTGAAAACACCAAGACACAGCAGGCTTCCCTCAGGCCTAGACACGCCCGAGGAGCCAGGGGTGGGAAGCAGGGCAAGGCGCAGAGCTGGGGCAGCTGCCCGTGAACGGGGAGTCAGCATCCAGACCAAGGGCCCACTGTCCCTGGCGCCCGTGCTCCGTGGTGGCTGGGCGGGGTGTTGGGGCAGAAGCCGTGGTGGAGGAAGTGAGATGGCTGGGGCTGTGGCGGCCACCACCCGAGACACACTGGGCGGAGTGCCCTTTGCCAGCAGCCGCCTGCTGCGCCGGAAGAGCAGGACGCGGCCCGGGGCTGCCACAGCCATGCCTGAGGGTAGCGGTCCCCACTGCGCCCACGTACGCGACCCGCAGTGTGCCGGGGACGCGTCGGGCACTTCCTCTCCACCAGCTCCGTGAGGCGGACGACAGCCCCACCTTGCAGGCCGGACGGCTCAGAAGAGCCCCGGGTCCCGCGACCCGACTGCGAGCTCAGGTGGGAAACCAGTCGCGAGCTCCGAGAGGGAGGCATCGCACGTCACTGTTTGGGTGCCAGGTGGCAAATCGGGGACGGTTAGGCTTCCAGGCCCAGGCTTGGCCGCACCTGCTGGAGCGGCCCCCTCCGCATGCTGGGGAGGAGGGCGGCCGCTGTTAGACTTTGGGTGCCTCATTTACGGTCTGACTCTGGCCGCGTGGTTTAGGGGAGGGTCTGTGGGTGAGGCATCTTAAGTCCACTAGCCCGGCGAACGGTGGAGAAAAACGGTGGATTTTGTCTTTCAAAGCCTCCCACAGCCTGGGAACTAAGAACAAAGGGGCGAATGTGTCAGGTCTGTGATGGCCTTGCTGGTTACTCGCGGGAAGAGTTTCAGCACGGCAGGTAGACGTGCCACGGAAACCCACGGGAACGATCACCATTCCTGGGGGACAGCACCCCTGGGGTGGCGTGGGCCCGCACCTCAGGAGGGCCGAGCCTGGGCTCCTGTATCGCTACTGAGTAAAAAGCTGCCACCCACCCTGGTCAGGTGGCTCGGCTGGTTGGAGCATCGTCCCGTATACCAAAAGGCTGAGGGTTCCATTCCCAGTCGGGGTACGTGTGGGAGGCAACCAATCGATGTTTCTCTCTTATACCGATAGTTTCTCTTTTTCCTTCCCCTCTCTCTCTCTCTCTCTCGAGATCAATAAAAACATCCTTAGGTGAGGATGAAAAATAATAATAAGCCGCTGCCCATCAGGCGCGGTGCTGGCCAGACAAGCTCCATGTGCTCTCACAGAACTCGGCAAGGGCCGCTTAGTTTTCTAGATGGGAAACCGTAGCTCAGAGAGGCCGCCCCAGAGGCCGAGGGCACATGGAGCCGAGATCCAGGCGCCTGCCCCTCTGGGTCCCCAGCCCATGGGCCGGGCCAGCCCTGGGTCCGTGCACAGGCCGCCCCGGACGCCCTGCCCGCGGAGCTCGGCACATGAGCACTGGCCACCAGCTCCTGGCCCCGGGCCGCAGCTGCTGACGTCGGACAGCTTCCGGAGCAGCCTGAGTTCTTTGTAGAGTCCTCTTTTAAGCTAAAATTTACAACAGCTGTTGTTTTTCTTACCTGTTGTAAAACTTTTTCTGTAAATATCTCTTGGAGTCTGGAAATTTCAACCATTTTCCCTTCAATTTGCCTTCATAAAAAAACAGATTGCATATTAACTATTAGTACTTGGTCATCTTAAAAGGAGAGGTACACATTTCTAAAGAAACCTAAGCGAAGGTGTGTGAGAGAGGGAGGGGACACGACGTCAGGCCCGGGGGGAGACAGGCAGCTCCCCGCAAACGTCTCCCAGCCTAGTGGGGGGCACCGGACTGTCTGGACAGCCGCCCTCCCGTGTCAGCTGACCCACAGCCCCTGCCTCTGGTCCGTGCGGGGCCAGGAGCACGTGGCCACGCCCCTGTGACGAAACGCAGTGCCTTGGAGGCCTGTGCCTGGACTGTAACCGCCAGGCCACATGGCGGAGTCGGACGGAGGAAACATCAGGAAACGCTGGCACCCCAGCTCTGTTCCTGCTAGTGGGTCAACGGAAGGGGTGTATTTACCACCGAAGCCAACTCTGGGGAACGAGAAAGCGCCTCTGATCCTGTTTGTAGGCATCGTGTCTGAGGTCAGCGCTTCTCCCGTGTTGGGGGTGGCAGGGGTGGGTGGTGGGTGTCTAGAAGGGGTGTTGGGGGTAGTTGCTGTCCTGGCTTGAGCAGTGACAGGCGGCGGGAGGCGAGGCTGCGGGCAGCGGGCTGAGCCCCCAGCCCGGGCGGAGCAGCTGTGGGGCAGGAGAGCGAGGGGAGGGGAGAGGCCGCCTCGGAGGGGCGGGCCGGGGAAGCTGGGTGGAGCTGGGGGCCCTGTGCTCCATTCCCGGGGCGATGCGGGCGCAGCCTGGGGACCTGCTCTTGCCACAGCAAGGTTTTGGGCCCCCCTTCCAGAAGGCTCTCCACCCCGGGGCAATGGGGCACCAGCATGTCTGCAGACACCCCTTGGTCTGTGGTGAGGCTCACTGGGGGCGGGGAGGCTGGCTCCAGCGGAGCAGCTGCCGGTGGCAGCCCGCAGCTATCCCCCCAAGGCCCCCATTTCATCTTAGAGGCAGCAGACCCACCGCTGAGGGAGTCAGTGAATCCTGTGACCCCACAAGGCTCGGGGGCTGCATGTCGCCTGGGAGCCACATGGGGATGCCTGGGCAGCCACGTGAGCTAAGGAAGGCCCTAGCCCTGGGGGAGCCCTAAACGGGGCCGTGAGCCCATGAAGGCACAGCACACGCACCTCACTTCGTCACACAGGCTGTTCATTTCACCGATGAGGCGCTGGTTTTCTTGTTCAAACTGCAAGAAAACGCACACATTAAAAACAACATCATACTGAACTGAAGGCTCAAAAGCGATGCAGCCGACTGCGCGGGCCCAGCACCGCGCCTGCCCAGGGGCCGCCAGCGCCGCCTCCAGAATCGCCCGGGGTCATTCCTGGCTCGCCGGAAGCCCCCAGGCGTTAGCGTGAACACCCCCGCTTCAGCCAGAAAATAAAAATGCACCGAGCAGCTGGGCAGCCGGCCCATGGCTTGACCTCTCCACCCTGCGCACCTGAGTTCAAGCGCGAGATGACTCGGCGGCTGGCAGGGACGCCACAGAGGAGGGGGGCGGGCCCTCTGTCCTGCCCACACGCCGCTGTGGGCTCCTGGGGGCCCCTCCTTGCTTTCTGCCTCTGGACCGTTCTTGGCAAGTGGAGCAGTGAGCGGCTTTGCTTTGCCGAGAGCAAGGATGTGGCAGAGTGGCACAGGGGCGCGTCTGACCTCAGAGCTGCCCTTGGCCAAGCCCCCGCGGCTGGGACGGAGCAGCCCAGGAGTCAGAGAGGCTGCACGCTGGGTGCTCAGCCTGGCGACCAGGCTTCAGAGCTCAGTCTGGGTAAGGACAGCCACCTGCACACACCTCCCAGGCAGCCCGTCAGCGCCGAGTCACTGGGCAGGCAGACAGCGCTCCCGAAGCGCCCCGTGGGGCGGGCCCCCACAACCCTGCCCCGTGTGCCCGCTCACCTCCCTGCACGCGGGCAGCCCGAGGCGCGCTGGTCTCCGCTCCCGCGTCCTGCAGGCCTGGCTTGAACACCACCCTCTCCACGACACCACCCTGGGCCCCCACGCATGAGGCTGTTTCTCATGCCCCCAACCTGGCCCTGGCGTCTCTGGAAACCTCTCAGGAGGGAAAACCTCTCAGGAGGGAACCACTGTCCGCCTCACAGCAGGAGGCGTGCCTCCCGACTCTGGAGACTCACACTTGGTCTCTCGTTCACGTCGGCTAAAGCCGCAGCCACACCCACAGACTTCCCGGGCATTCTCTGGGCCTGGCACGGCGCGGGGGACACAGAAGCAAGTCCTGCGCTCTGGTGGCTTTGCAATCCGTCTCCAGGTCTGGTCACCACTGGCTCAGCAAAGCGCCAGTGGAAGAAGAGCACGGCTCCGAAACTCACGACGACCACCAGCCCCGTGCCACCTCCGCCCCTCTCCCCCCACCCCGCTCGCCTCCCGGCCCCTTTCCTCGAGGGGCCTTCCCTTCCTCCCTGCGTTTTGCCTGCTGCACCGGCTGTATTCACGCCTTCCCGGCGGTCTCAGTTCCACCCTTCATCTCTCTCCTTCCACCTGTCCACCACTCCTTGGCCAACGTGACCGACAGTGCCCGTCACGCCACGCTGCTCCGTGCTGCCCTGCCCTTCGCCCGGCGGCGGCGTCTGAGGTGCCGTGCTGCCCCCAATGCGGCCCCCGGCCGCCTCTTGTGGCGCCCCCTGCGCGCCTCACCTCGCGTGTGCGCGGCTGGCTGTGGGCCTGGCACGGCTCGCCCCCTGGCGGGGCCCTCGGGGGGCACCTTCTGGGCGACTGGACACGTCAGGGCAGAAAGAACCGCTCTCTCATCCTCTCTCTCAGGCTCTCCGGCACGCAACTCACCCTGCCAGGGACCTGCCTTCCCCCTGGGGCCCGCGACCCTCCTTCTCCGGACCCTGAGCGCGGGCACGGGTGGGCTGGCAAGGCTTCGGGACGCGCTGCAGCGCGGGGCAGCTCCCTGTGGGGCCGCCCCACCCCGGGCCGGGCGGCTGCTGTCCAGGCTGCCGGGGCCGCTAATGACACATCCCACAAAGGCCATTTAAGAGAAGAAAAATTGCACTTTTGAGTTTGAAAGGATCAGCTCTGTTAATTGTCAATAGTTACTTAAGAGTCTAGTACCTGAGGAAAAATTAATTATTTCAGCATGCAGGTGCTAATTTACTTTGGCCAACCCTCTCAGGTACTACTCAGGGGTTTGGTTTTTTTGGCAGGAAGCATTTTCTTTGAATTTTTCAAACGACAAAATATGGCCCTGCCCTTTTAAATCCACAGCACTTTCATTCTTTTAAACTATTCCTAAACAAAACTGACCCAGGCTTTGGGGCGACTGATGGCTGGCGTGCTCCCGGGGAACAAAGCCTTTCTGTTTCCTCCGGGCTTGAGGCCCGGGGCCCCGCCCCGCTTCCTTCCGGCCTCTGGGTGACGGTGACCGTGGACTGGGGACCCCACCCCAGGGCCCCTGTTTGCCAGCTCTGGTGTGGGCCGGTTCTGTTATTGTCTCCCTTGACCCCGCCTGGGAAGCAGGAGTCCCTGAGGTCCTGGAAGAGACAAGCGCCCGGGGGAGGGAACCGTGGCAGGGGCCGCAGAGAGGCTTGCCAGGGGCCAGCAGCCTCTGTTCCGGGGCTGCAATGACTCTGCGGCTTTAAAAACAAGTGTTTCCCACGGCCAAGCGCAGGCTCAGGCAGCTCGGAAACCCACCAGCCCCAGGTCTCAGGACGGTGCCCGATGTCTCGGTGGCAACGCTGCATGCCTCCCCCTTCACCTGTGGAGGAAGCGGCTGCAGCCAGAGGCTGGGCCTGGGAGCTCCGGGCCTTCCCGGAGGCCTGTCGGTTTCTTTTTGTGAGCAGATGCTGACCCTTAGCCTTTCCCACCGGACCTTGGGTGACTCTGGGCAGAGGACTTGACCGGTCTGCACCCTTGCCTTCCACGCTGAGGCAGGGTAATGACTGGAGCTGCTGGGGGGACGGCACGGGCCCTCGCTGCGCCTTTACCACTTGCTCCCTCTGGGACTCAGCCCCAGATTCACGGAGTGAGCCCCTGAACACTCCATAGGCCCCTTCCACTTCTCTGGTTCCAGATTCTAGAGGGCAGGGGGGACTCCAGGTAGTCCCCCCTCTCAGGCACAGGACATGCACTCAGCCTCATCTTCCAGGGCCCACAGGCAGCCCACGCAGCAGGTGTTGCTCCCCACAGACAGGGCTTTCCAGGGTGCAAGGCGAGTGAGGGGTCAGGCTCCGTGGTCAGCACCGGGGACAGGGGCGCCTGCAGACACTGGGAGGACAGACTCACCCCAGTCTCCCCAACCTCCACCCAGGCGGGGTGCGAGTCACTGACGAGAGGGTGGGGCCCTACCAGCCCGCCTGTGGTGGCGGGGTCCCTGCGGCGGCCCCCTGCACACTATCTAGGGCTCACAGCACAGCGCAAGGCTTTCCCTTGCTGCGGACGGGTGCCCAGCGCGAGCGGCAGGCATCACGCCTAAGTGTCCAGCACTAGGGAGCGTTCTCTGTGATGGGACCGCCATCAGCCGCAGCACGTGGGGCGGCATCAGCGAACAAGCGCTGCGGAGCCCAGAGCGGCACTGGCCCGCGGCGTGTCCCGCTAGCGTTAGGCAGTAGAGGTCAGCCAGACTTTCACATGGGGCCCCGCAGAAGGGTTTACACCCTTACGTAAAAGATACAAATTCATGCTGTTAAGACAGTTACAGAGATCCTTTTCTAACGTCATCCTCTTTACTATAGTTTTAAAAAGAAAATCACCTTACAAAGACCTTTGAATATAAAGTGAGGCCAGGAGAAGTATTTGCATTGCCAAGAGCCAAGACCAGCTACTGAATGGAAGGCTGGGGACCCACGGGGGCCTCCCTGTGCCAGCACATTCACACCTGCAGCTCTGCAACCCTAGGCTTGAGCCCGCCAGGGCCCCTGGGAGCCTGGGACCTTGGCCCTTGCTCTTTCCCATGCGGCGCCCACTTCTACCAACTCCTGTGTTCTGAACGCGTGAGCTGAACTTGGCCCCAGAGCACAAACCCTGCTGGCTGGTCCCCTGGTGCTTGCTGGGCCAACTGAGGGGACAGGGTCCAGGGACACCTTTCATGCAGATTTAAGAACAGAAGTCACATTCATGTCCTTAAAAATTATCCCAAGAAGTACATCAGTAAATGCAGCTGGTTTCATCTGAGGCGAGTGAGGTGGCCGTGGACTCAGGAGGGAGGTGTTTCCTTAACGTGACATCAGAGTTGGGTTGTACTCGGCCTGGCCACAAAGCACCTGCTCGTATCGATTCAAAGGCATTACTGTTCCTGCACCACGAGCTAGAAGTGGGGATTTATTGTGGCAATAATGCAGCACTCTGCAGCCCCTTCAGAGCGCGGGGCAAGTGCTCTGATGGGTCAACTACGGAATTCAATTGCCATCACAGGCTTCGGCGTTACTTTACCCCAAGGGAAACTTCCAAAACAGTCATTATGAATTATGACCGCAATCTGCTGCAACACTTTCCAACTCAGAACCAATACTGTAGTGGTTCCTTCTCTTCATTTTTGGAGTTAAGCCTTTTGAAATAAGACTAGGGTGGCCAGTCTCTAAGACGGGGTACTCAGCCATTTTCCCCAATTAAGACGGAAGTTACTGGGACACCGCATAGCCTGTCAGAGAAGCACCGACCTGCCCGCCCCCACCCAGCCCACCTGCAGTGACGGCACAGGCGGGGCGTCTGGCGGGCTCTGATCGTGCTGGTCCTCGCCCGGCAGGGCCCAGGCGCCGGCCTTCCCAGGGGTGGGCGGAGGCGTGTCCACACGTTGGCTCAGTCGGGGCAGGACAATGAGAGGCTGTGCCAGTGGGCACCACCGTGGAGAGAAGAGCCTGAGGAGACAGGCCTTTGCCACAGGCGTCAGCGGAGCCCCATCCGCACGGCTACAGTGACCGTGGCAGAGCGCGGCTGCCACCGTGGCATTCCCGTGGGAGCGGGGGGGTGGGGCGCCCTGCGCTCGGCTGGGTGCTCACACATGCACTGCTGCGTCCTGGCAAGTCCGCGAGGCTGTGGATTCCTCCCTAATTCGAGTTCAGTGAGGCTTGTTTTCTGGTCCCAAATCAGTGACATGAAGAAGACTCACCATCAACTCTGTCTTCCAAAGCCCGAGTTCCTTCGTCATCCCGCATGGGACCGAGCACCAGGGTCCCAGACGCCTTCTCCAGGTGGCCCACCCTCCATGCGCCCACCCAGAGGCTTCAAAGACACGCACCCGCGAAGGCTAACGAACCTCTGCTGCTGGCCACTGCCTGCAGGAGGCGGGCCGGGCCGCGGGCACCCGCCCGCCCGGCTGCCGCCGCCCTGGGTGCCACCTTCACGGAGCGCAGTGCTGTGCGCTCCAAAGTCCCGAACAGCAGGTCAGTTCTGCTTAAACACCAACGTGTGCTTTCCTAATGAGGAGGCTGTGCTATAAACATTTTCATCTCCAGCAAAGATGTGGCCACGTTCCATTATTTGGGGGAACATGACCCATTGTTTTCATTAATAAAATCATTTTGTATAAACTGAAGAAACACTGAGATGTTAAGGAACTTCAGCCACCCTCTGTGCGTAAGAAAGGAGCGGGGTCTAACGGTTCTTCCTTTCCTCTGTGGCTTCTCTGCCGTAACCGGCAGAGGGGGGTCCCCGGGGTCATGTCCTCGGTCCCTCTCTCCCCTCCCCTGTACACGCCGTTTCAACAGTGAGCAGTAAGGTGCCTCCCACCGCCCGGCAGACACTTATCCCCCTGAGCTGACAGAGGCCAACGCGAGCCCTGCTTATTACTTCAAAGGAGGCACCTCAGGCCCTGAGGGAGCCCCCCCAGAGCAAGTCCCAGGGAAGTCACGGTGGGGTGGCCAGGGAGGGCCTCTCTGACAAGAGGGCACATGAGTCCCAAACGGCGTGAGGACGACACTGAAGAGCAAGAGCTCAGCCGCACGAGCACCTTCGTTGAAGAGGCCGGCGCTGGGAGAAGACTGGACCCCGTCTTCAGCCGCGAGCTTGGCTACGACGCGCTACCCGCCCTCCTGATCAGCGGCCTGGGGTGGAAATCCCCCGCTGAGTCATCGGAACTGCTGCGCCCGGCCCACGGGGGACCGTGGGCAGCAAGCTCACTGCTCTCTGCCAGGGTTAGGAGGAGAGGCCATGCCCCGCCGCCTCTTACTGTCAACGTTAAGAATGCCGTGGAGAAAGTGAGACTGCAAAGTTCCGTCCCTTGTGAACTGCTGCACAAATTAAAGTGTCATCCTCTGTCCGGCGCAGCCCCTGGGGAGCTGCTGAGTGGGAGCCACTTTCGCGGCCCACAGGCGCAGGGCAGAGTTTCCGGAGGCCGGCCCCGGCCCCAGCCCCAGGTGCTGGGCCCCCTCGGCTGCGTCATGCCCACGCCCACGCCCCCGAGGAGCAGTTCGCGGGCCGCCTGTGAGCGGGTGGGCGCCCCGTGCCACCCGTCGGTCTCCTGTGGAGACTCGCCCTGAGCTGGCAGACAACGACGCCTGGCAGCTAGAGGACAGCAGCTGAGAGGAGGCGGGGGACGCAGCAAAGGCGCACCTTCCAGTCACCACATAGGCTTTCTTCCCGTTTCTGAACACCAGCGACTCGAATACTGACAGGCGCCAGAGTGGCAATTACAAAAGACCATCGAGTCCTGAAGACATTTTACTGCTGCTGAAAAGACACTAATGTTACTAAATTATTCCAGCGCAATTTCTTCTTTAATTATGTTACTGTAAATTTAAAATAAATGAAAAGCATACTGAGAATTAGAAAACCTAGTGGACAAATTGTATCTAAAATAGTTGTTTGTAATTTTTAAAACTCAGTATAAAAATCAGGATGACCTCCCACTCAATGAACATTCTTACCAGAACTGGTTAGAAATGAACGGTTAGGCAGACACTAGCCTTACCATTTGTATTTCTTCTGGGGATAATTCATCTTCGCCTTTGCTATCTCCCCAGGTTCCCAACTCGGGCTGTGGCTCCATCGGAATCTTTTCTGTTAAAAAAAAAATATTAAAAATAAATAGAAGGCAAAATGTTCATTGTAGACCAGGCAGAGACATGAAGAGCACAGGAAGGAAGAGAACCTTGCCGCCAGCCCCTCGGCCGGGACTCAGGCACGGCAGCGTGGCTCTCCTCCGGCGTTCAGGCCTGTGAGCTGGCACACGCGTGCGTGTGCGTGCATGGCTGGCTGTGGGTGGGTGCGTGTCTGGCTGGTGTGTGCATACATGTGCTCGCGTCGGGGGTGGTCTGAGGGGGCTGTGCCAAGTGTCAGTGCGGCACTCACTCCAGCCCCAGCTGTAAACGTTCTTCCCGCCTGGTCTTCCCAGGTGTTTTATGTCAACACGCACCCCTCCCTCTAGTTTTTGAAGAATGCAAAATGTCTGGGCATTTTCATTGTAAAAAAATCACGTAAAGAACACAGGAACAAACTGCCCCTAATCCTATTCCTCTCCCAGAAGTAACCTGCCACGCGTGGACATAGCCTCAGGGACTTTAAGCACGCACACACACAGACTGTTCTAAAACGTGCTTTCCACGACCTAACATGTATCTTGGAGGTCACCCTGTGCAGGTCCACAGAGATCTATGCCATTCTTTTCAATCGCTGCACAACGTTCCGCGGGAGGACCTGCTGCCCTTTAAGCAACCACAACTCTGCCGAGAGCCGGCGGCTGTCTTGTTTGCGCTGGAATCATGGTGCCGGGCCGCGCTGTGCACGTGTTGGCAGGCTCCAGCGCAGATGCCTGGCGGGCACCGCTGGCTGGACATCTTAATGCCAGGACTGTCTGGTTGTGATCCCAGAGCCACGGGTGCTCCGCGAAGCGCACGGAGCACAGCCCCCCGGGAAGGCCTGTGCCGCCTGCCAGGGCTGCGTTGGGGAGCCCTGCGTGGTTCGCGGGGGTGGGTGTGGGCGGGGCCGGGGAGCACTCCTCCTCGGGGGAGGCGGCGACGGGTCTGCTTTGAAAGCGGACTGTGTCTGGCGCCTCAGCGGCGCCTCTGGGCTGGCCAGTGGGCTGTGAAGCACCCAAAGGCAGGCACTGCTGCGCTTTCTTCCTCAGTCTCAGTGAATTTCCCAAAGCTGGTCCTAGCACCTGGGGATGGACAAAGTCCAGAGTTTTTGTTCTGAGACCGATAAGGGAAAGGAACACAACGATAACACCAATTAGAGAGAGCAGATCGGTCAGACCCTGGCGCAGGGCACGCTTATCTGGGTTCCATCGTCACCAAAAACACTCCATGTCACCTGTGACTTTGTCAAGTGTTTTAAAATAGCTGTATGGCTGTTTTAGCCAGAACTGTTATCATGTTTATAGGACATATTTACATATAATTTTATATACTATACACACAAGTAAAATATCCATGCAATTTATATACAACAGACGTATTCGCAGAAGACAGGCTGGAAGCATCTCTGGAAGCGGACGCGGAGTCTTCTGAGACGACTGTCCGCCGGGGGAGTGTCGGTACTCATCCAACCCCGCCCCCAGAGCCCCTGCCCCCGAACTAACTTCATGATGGCAGCCATGCCAAGCTCTTGCTTTTGCAGTTTTTAAGGACACAAAACGAGGAACACAAACATCGTTGGCCCCTGAAGCGAGTGGACCTCAGCTCTGAGCAGGAGCAGCAGGGGCTCGCTAAGGAACTGGTGCTCTGATGGGCTCGCCCTCCCCCCCCCGCCCCGTGGGGCCACGCGGCACCTGTGCGAGGATCAGCCAGTGCTCCCCGCGCAAGCCCCTGCCCGGACCCCAGCACGGCAACACCCGCAGACACTCCGCAGGCCCTGGCCTGGCACCCAGGGCCCTCCGTGCAGCCTGGCCGCACCCGCCCTTCCGGCCTCGGTGCCCGCCCTCCGCCCCTTGTGTGCTTCAGCCACAGCACCTTCTCTGCTGACTGTACCCACAGCTCGTGCCACGCCTCCTGGCTGCTGAGCGGTGCCCATGTGTTCCCTCTGCCCTAGGACATGGGGTGGCTCCAGGAAACTGGGGACAGGGAGGCGGTGCCTGCCCTTCCTGAGACCGACACGTGAGAATCCTTGAACGGAGATCTCTGACGTTTCCTGCCAAGCCTCCGCCCCTCCCCGCCCCCCCCGCCCCTCCCCCGCAACGGTGCTTGGCAACACCAGGCCCTTTTTTTCCTGGGCTCTGCCAGGTCCCAGGTGACGGGGAGGGGGGTCCTCCTACCCTGTCCCAGCAGCAGCCATTCAGATCCATGGTGACAGAAGAGAGGCTGCTACTAAGTTTCTTTTGTGTCCGGTGACTAATCACCACACTGTGTGTGGAATCGTGTGCCTTCTCTGTCTGCTTTGTGTTTCTGCTAACAGGTCATGAGGAAGAGATGCAAGGCAAGATTTTGATTTTAATTCACACCTGGATAGTCTTCAGTGGCAGGTTTTTCTTCAGAGTCTTTTGAAGGATCTTCTGAAACTTTCTCAGAGGACATGGATTCTCTGGTCTTTGGATTTGCTTCTGGTTCCAGCTTGGATCTAAAAATAATCAGCAATCATATAATTTACTTAAGCGCCAGAATTCCATTTTGACAACAGAGGGAGTCCCCGTGACCCCGGCATGCTTGTTCTGTGCCCCTACCGAGAGCAGAGCTACCGCTTCTGGGCCCAGTGACCGTCCCGACGCGCCTCTAGCGGGACACTTGTGACCAGCTCCTGGTGCCGCGGCCTGCAGGGTGAGGGCTGCGCATCCCTGGCCATGGCGCAGGGGACTGCGGCCAGCGTGTGCCGAAGGAAGGGACGCAGGAGCCCACCCCACACGCTGACACCGCACAGACTCAGCCCGCGGGCGGCGCAGGCCGCATCTCCCGCGTTCAACAGATCCACGCGGCCAGCTGTTTCTCACCAACAGAGTGTTGCTGAACACACACACATGCCCTTTACATACCACATGGATTAGCAATGTCTTAAAGTGGTTTATATATAAAAGTTCAAGACTTTAAATATCCCCTGGATGGAACCAACTTGTCTCAGGAATCGCACGCGGCGATGCCTCCAGGTCCCCCCACAGCTAAGTCACAGCTGGGCTCCCTGCACCTGCGCAGAGAGGTCTTCTCCGCCTCCGCCCGCGCGTCTGTCTCGTAGCACCTGCCTGTCCTCCTCCGCACGGCCACCGTGGCCTGGAACAACCCTGTTCCCTGCTCACTTGCTGCTTGTCTCTCGCCTCACTACAGCACATGCTTGGGGCAGGGCCCTGGGCTCTGTAAGTCCTGCTGGTGGGTGCCTCGACCCTAGCTGAGTGCCTGGCATTCAGCGAGTAACGACTGTTTGTTGAATGAATGGACGTGTTGTAACTTCCAGTAAAAGGCAGTGAGAGAGGAAAAACTTGGGTTAGGAACCACCGGGCCCTGTAATGGCTTCACTGGAAGCTCTTAAAAGATACAAAAAAAACAGTGTACCAGACAAGAAAATACATTGTATTCTAAAAGAGGAAAAAAGAAATATCATAAAGATGTTAGCACTTCTTACATTCTAAATGTAATGTGATCCCATCCTGCAGTAGAAAGCAATTAGGAAATTCATTTGGAAACACGCAAGAATGGTCAAAAAACTGTAAACGAATACTGACCTCTAGTTAATGACTTGCACATTTAAGTATTGAAGGGGAAACGTACTCATACTTGCGCAACTAAATTTATAGGACAGGCAGGTGAAAGAGCAACGATGGTACAATGTAAATGATAACACTTGGGTAGTCGGTATATGAGTATCCACTGACTTGGCTGTATGTTTAAAATTGTTTAGAAAATGTGATGGTGATGGGGGGGGGTGGTGTTAAAAAATAGCCAGGAACGCCCTAAAAAAGAGTGTAATATTAGGGCACAAAAAGATTGATGGACTAATGAAACAGAAGAGAACATTCCAGAAGACTTGGTGTTATATATTTGTATAGGATGACTGGGGCCAGGACAAACAGGCGGTTCCAGGGGAAAAGGACAGCAAGGTCTCCTTCCTTCTGCCGTGTGCCAAGCTGAACGCCAAGCACATCAGAGCCACAGCCATGAAGAGCGAGCCGTGCAGGTGCGGCCTTCGCGGACTCGTTCTGGCTTTCCCCTTCCCGCTTCTTTGATGATGGAAAACCCAGCTTCCAGTATCCTCCCAGGAACAGCTACTACTCCGAGAGTTGTTGCAAAGACTACATAAAATGGTAGGCCAAAGAAAGAAGCGTGTAAAGTATAAGGACTTCACAAATAATCAGAGTGTAGAAATTCCTGGGGGCTTCACAGGTAGGTGTCCTGTAGGCAAGATCTTGAAAGAGGAGCAAGATTTCACCAGACAGACAGGGCAGGAGTGCACTGTACGCAGGGGGAACCCGGGAGTGAAACCTCTGGGTCAGAGGACGGCCATTAACTTTGGAGAACTATTTGGCTGTTTACACAGAATTATTTCATACTCCCACCAGCCATGGACGAGAGTTCCAGCTGCTCCACATCCTCCCCAACGTGTCGCCAGATTACAGGAGCTGGGCAGGGGGAATAAAATTTTTATTTTAACCACTCCACCACGTGTGGGATGGCATGCTGTGCTTTCTAACGTTGATTTTGCTGTGAACTGGTCACACAGAAGGGCACAGGGAACCCTTCCTCCGGGCAGCGGCACACAGTTGCCGACCCGACGCCCCTTCGCCTCTGCGCGCCTCAGCGTTTCCTCAGCACCTGAGCGTTCTCCGGTGCGCGGCCGGGACACAAGCATCGCAGCCAGGAAGTCCACTCCCAGCAGCTCTCCCCTGCCTTCCCTACACCCCGTTCTATTTCGGCCAGTCATCTCAATAATGTCCTTTAAAACAAAAGGGCCCAGCCCAGATTCATGCTGCGCCTGTCGCTGCTCTTGGTCTCCTTCGGCTTGAACAGCTCTTCAGTCTCTGGTGTCCCAGGACCTTGGCACTTGGCGATGTGCCAGTCACCCAGCGAAGCACCCTCAGTGTGAGTCCGTCTGGCCTTCCCTTGCGGTCAGACTCAGGTTCTGCGTCTCTGGCATGGGAAAGGGGGGCTCTCTCCGCCCTCTTCCCCTCGCCTCCAACCAGGCTACGCCGAGCTCACTGGGACCGCCTGATGAGGGCGGTGCCCACCCAGGCCGCTCCGTCCTGCTTTGTAATCAATAAGGACGGGGGAGGGGACTCTTTGATGCTATGTAATTATCAATTTCAAACTTTCAATTTGTTCACTTATTTATTTCTAGCCAGTTGGATGCATGGTTGTCCAGTTTTATTCAGTGGGTTATAATCTGCTACGACCATTGACTTTGAAGCTCCAATTGTCTCCAGTTCGGCCAGTAGAAGCCCCTTCAAAACGGCTTATCACATGTTCCCATCATTCTCTGGGAACTTCCTTGCTTTCTGGTACAAAATGTTCCAGGCTCATTTTATACTCACCCTGCCCCGGAATCAGCCATTTCTCCAAGGGGCTCTAGTTCCTGGAAGCTGAAACTGGTACTTAGAAGCCAAGATCTGAGTGCTGTGTGTGCTTGACACTGGGGTGTCACGGGTTCCAGGCCCTCTGGACAGTGCCAGAAAACATACGTACGCACCTGCACACCTGTACCTGCACACACACTTACAACCACATTTACATCTACGGAAACTGCCAGCCGTGAGTTCACACCACTATCTTCCACTCCAATCCAACATCACAGGTTTGTTCTGGATTCTTCCCTTTCACTTCTCCAGCAGTGAGAAAACTGGCTTCCATGACCCTTACACAGTGTTTACTATTTGACCCATCCCTCTGTGTGTAGCCAACCCGCCATCTCCACCGCCAGCCCTCCCCCTGGGGACCCCCCTCTCCGCGCTGGGGCTCCGCGGTCTGCACGGAATCGGACCGGCTGGGGGAAACTCGCGCCCCGTCACTGCACGCACCCTGCCTCTCTCCAGGGCTGCACACTGATTGGTCCCAAAAGAGATGGGCTTCACTGACTTTTTAAAAAATTACATTTTATTGATGATGCTATTACACTTGTCGTGGTTTTTCCCCCTTTGCCCCCCTCCACCCAGCATCCCCCACTCCCCTCAGGCCATCCCCCCACCATCGTCATGTCCATGGGTCATGCATGTAAGTCCTTTGGCTACTCCATTTCCCATACACACTTTACGTCCCTGTGGCTACTCTGTAACTACCTATTTGTATTTCTTAATCCCCTCACCTCTTCGCCCGCTCCCCCCTGCCCGGCCCCTGTCATCTGGCGACCATCAAAACACTCCATATCCATGATACTGTCCCTGTTCTTCTTGTTTGCTTGGTTTGTTTTTTAGATTAAACTGTTGATAGATAAGTATTTTTCGATTTTATTGTTCATAGTTTTGATCTTCTTTTTCTTAATAAGTCCCTTTAACATATCGTGTAATGATGGTTTGGTGATGATGAACTCCTTTAGTTTTTTCTTGTCTGGGAAGCTCTTTATCTGCCCTTCAATTCTAAATGACAGCTTTGCTGGGTAGAGCAATCTTGGCTGTAGGTCCCTGCTTTTTATGACTTGAATATTTCTTGCCAATCCCTTGGCCTGCAAGGTTATTTCTGAGAAATCAGTGGACAGCTTTATGGGAACTCCCCAGTTGGAAACTAACTGCTTTTCTCTTGTTGCTTTTAAGATCCTCTCTTTATCTTTAACCTTTGGCATTTTAATTATGTGTCTTGGCGTGGGCCTCTTTACATCCATCTTGTTTGGGACTCTCTATGCTTCCTGGACTTGCATGTCTACTTCCATTACCAAATTAGGGAAGTTTTCTTCCATTATTTTTTCAAATAGATTTCCAATTTCTTATTCTTTCTCTTCTTCTGGTGTCCCTATGGTGCAAACGTTGGACCTTTTGAAGTTTTCCAAGAGGTTGCTTATACTCCCGTTTTTCTTTGGATTCTTTTTTCTTCTTGTTTTGATTGGGTTTTTGTTTTTTTGCTTCCTTATTTTCTAAATCATTGACTTGATTCTCAGCTTCATCCACTCTACTGTTGTTTCCCTGTAAATTGTTCTTTATTTCAATTAGTGTATCCTTCATTTCTGACTGGATCTTTTTTATGCTGCTGAGATTCTCCCTAAGTTCCTTGAGTATCCTTGTAACCAGTGTTTTGAACTCTGCATCTGATAGGTTGGCTACCTCCATTTTGCTTAATTCTTCTTTTGGGGCTCTGTTCTTTTATTTGAGCCATTTTTCTTTGTCTCCTCAATTTACCAGCCTCCCTGTGTTTGTTTCTGTGTATTAGATAGGGCTGCTTTGACTCCATGTCTTGGTAGTGTGCCTATTATCTAGGTGTCCTGTGGGGTCCAGTGGCACAGCTGCCCCTATTACCCAAGCTGGGTACCTGAGGTGCACCCTTTGTGTGGGCTCAGTACACCCTCTTCTTGTAGTTGAGCCTTGGTTGCTGTTAGCAGATCAATGGGAAGGATTTACCCAGGCCAGTCAGCTGCAAGGACTGGCTGTGACCACTGACCTCCAACCCCTGTCCTCTGCGGAGGACCAGCTGTGTGGGGGCGGGGTGGTGGTGCTC